TCGTATACCATTTCGAAAACTTCAAGACCAAACACAAAATATTGTAACAAAGGATGGAACTACCAATATTTTTGAATTTCATAATTCTGGCAACGTTAAAATTATATTTAAGTAATGATAATGTTGTATAATGATATTGCTGCTTTTAAATTACACAATTATGTATGAAGTCCTAAATTGAAAAAAAGCATTTATTCAATATAAAGAATTTAAGTTATTTGCTATTGCTATTGTACGATTTTAAGAATTATGATTAGTATAGTTTATTGTTATTGTTATACAATTAAATAGTTATGTTCGATTATGGGTTACAACTTGAGGTTCTTTGCAGGTTAAGACATTAGATTTTTCATGAGCTAATACTTGGGATACTTCATTAGTTATTACTTGAAGTTCTTCACAGGTTAAATCTTGTGATTTTTCACAGGTTAAACCTTGAGGTTCTTTACAGGTTAAATCTTGTGGTTTGTCCCGAGTTAAACCTTGAGATTCATCTTGAGTTAAGATTTGAGATTCGTCTTGAGCTGAACCTTGAATTGCATTTATTAATAATGTAGTATTTTTAAGCCGTTGTTCACTATTTGGAGTTTTATAAGACCGCAATCCATCAACCGAACGATGACCTGAAAATTCCATCATTTCATGTTCATTTATATTAAGATCTGATAAAAGTTGTATAGCGGTTCTTCTTTCTAAATGATTAGTGATTCGTTGATCAGTAATATTAATTTTTGAAGCTTGTGCAATGTTATTCATCATATTGGCTAGAGTATGTTGCCCAAGTCCAGTTTTAAGAAACCAATTTTCATTCCGAATTTCTTGTAAATTTCTTGTTAATTGTAAATAAAATTTTTCGCATGCATCTTGAGGGCACAAATTTATATATTTTCGAAGGTCTTAAATAGGTTTATACTAATTGTTAGGTAAGTCAGCAGGAATATGTATATGACAGCTAGAAAATTTGCCATATTTGTTTCGACCTTTAAGCCTGCCCTGATTGTTTTTCTCACGGCCAATTATAAAATCAAGCTTCTATCTGGTTGAAATTCAAAACAGCTTAATAAAAGCCGAAGGTGATCACCTTCACGTAATCCAAGTAAATATGCATTTCAAAAGAATACTTTCCAAGTAAGTAGTAATGCTGTTTCTTCCTCTGAATTAAAATAAGATAAAATTTGATAGATTTCTTCTAATATCAATCCTTTTAACTGATCAGTTTCGCCAAGTCCTTGATCTTGTAAATCCATGCATTTTCCATCTATGACCCGATACAAGATTGGAAATTGAAATCGGTCATTAATATTAACATTTGTAATTACAGAAGTTTCAAATAAAAAATGGCGAAGAGAGGTATAGGCTGACACAATCAATTCGACTTTGTATAGCTTTCCATCCTGTCGTTTAATATCAGCAAAAAATTTATATAATTCACATTCAAGTTGTTCTTTATCCATTATTGTTTGGATTTCATAAGAAATATTTTTCTTTTGTCAATATTCTTGCAAGATTCGAACCCATTTTTTCGTACAAGCATCAGTGTTTTTAATTTTAGATTTTTGTAGATATCGCTGAATATTATCTTCTGTTCTGTTATTACTTTCATATTCATCAGATATGTTCGGTGCTGTATTACTTTCGATTAAATTATGAGCTGAAGTTAAACTTGATATAGTTAAAATAAGAAATTCAATAAAGTTCTTTTGTAATTCAATTTTTTATTTATGTAGAAATTTTAAACTATACGAATTACGTCACTTTTATTAAAAAATAGTATGGAAGTATAATAAGAACTGGGGAATAAAATAATTATTGTCCACTTATGTGGGCAATAATATATACATATTGCCACATATAGATTAGTCAATCAATTCACGATTTTAAAAAAACTATAAAAATTTTAATTACTTTACATATATTAGGCAAAATATATTGGACTTTCATCAAACATAAATTATCTTTAATATATATTCATAATTCGATTATTATTTTGTTATAGAAGGTTTTAATAGGTTCATATTTACATAGATTTTTCTCATAAAGCATAGAGAAAAAAATTGTATAACTAATATACCCAATCAACGTTGTTAAATAGATTTTTTTTCTTTTATAGTTTCTATTGTCAAACATCAAAAATTTTTTAGGTGAATAGCAACATAACATATGTGATTAACAAGTTAAGAGAATATGGTACTAAAACTTCAAGTTTGCTTAATAAACTTGACTACTTATTAGTATTTCTAAATAAGCCAGCTTATTTGGCTTATTTGTTACATCCCAGGCTTGCTGTAGTTTATAAGCCTGTATAACAATATAATTTAATCTAAATTTTCTAAATTTAATTTAAAATTTAATTTAAAATTAAATTAAAATTTTATATTAAAAATAAGGCAATTTCTATTTGTACAGAGTGTTTATACACAAGTATATAGAAAGCCAATCAGATTGTATGATCAGGTGTAATGTAAAATTATTACTTTCTCTATAATATTATCTATATCTCAAAATTTCACTTATGAAATCACCTTTTGGGTTTTAACAAAAAAAATTTCTTGCTAAATTTTGGTATAAGATATAACATGTCCAATCCTAAATGCACCCTTACCTAACCCGAAGTAGGGCTTAATTTTTTATTTTATAAAAGTTGTATTGATTTGCATGTTACACAAAATTTTTTTTTTTTTTTAAGGTGAAGTTTTGCCTTTATCTTTTATAATATTTTGTATTGAGAATCTACTAGGGGTTCCTCTGGCCGGAGCCAATTTACAAAAATTTTTACAAGAATAAGACTCAGACTACCAGAAACTAAAATTCTGATTCATCTGCAATCTAGGTGGGTTTTAACCTAGATTGTACAAGTACTTTATAAAAGATCTATAAAGTATAGATAAAAGGTAATTTGT